GAACTGGAAGTCTAAATTAAATAGTAGTTTAAAAGATGTATCGTTTTCTAACATTAAAGTATATTAAAACTGTCTCCAAGTCATCCCTGCCATTTTGTTCAAGGATGCAGAATCTTCCTTTATAAATTAGAAGACATAAGGAACCCTAAGAGAACTGAGATGTTTGGGTGGATTTTCTGGTATCTCCTTTGAAGCACCAACCTTTACAATGTACTAAATCTAACATGATTAGAGTCAAAATGGTTTGAGGTGTTAAAATCATTTTAGTTCTCTGATAAGCTGCTGAAATAAACCCCATGCTTTCTTTCATGTTTTGGCTATGTGTAGGTTTGAGTTAACTTTTCGCCCTATCTGTTTGAGTGTGGGCTAAAATGGAAAGCTAGTGTTTGAAACCTACCAGGCTTCATCAAGCAATTTAATTAGGCTATATTCTAAAAGTGCAATAAGTAATAATAAACTCTTGTCAGAGACTTTATAATCCCCATTTCTATGAAATTTTCTAATTTATAGAGGAACCCTGGTAGCACAGTGATTAAGAGTTCAGCTAACCTAAAGATCAGTGGTTTGAATCCACCAACCACTTTGTGAGGGAAAGATGAGGGAGGCAGTGTGCTTCCATAAAGGCTTATAGTCCTGGAAACCCTATCCTATAGGGCAGCTATGAGTTGGAATCAACTCAGTAGCAACGGGTCTGGTATTCCAATTCATAAGACTTAGCCTTGAGAAGAAATGTTAAATCTTTCTGGACTACCTGGATTTTCTTATGTTCTGACCATGCTAGTGCCCTGTTCAGGAGAGGGCCAAGCCATATGGCCTCGTATAGTAGTTAGGAATGAGTCTGGGTTTTCTACATGGGACCTTAGGGAGAGGTTGAGGGTGAAGAAGCCTGTGACAGGGAGTCAGCTAAAAGAAGAGGAGATCTGAGAGGGTCTCAGGTATAGAGCTGGGCTCAGGTTCATTCCAGGGCTCACAAAGCTGAGGTACCAGGAAATAAAGACTAGCCAGAGACTCAGAAAAATGCTAAGTAAAAGAGGCTAATATTGTTCTAGCACTGACCAAGAACAAATTTAAATGGTTGATAACAAGAAGAATGGCTCAGGGGAGAGATTTAGGGCTTTGTCATTGCCTGTACTCTCTACCCCACCCTCTATCACTCCCATGCTCCTGGCCAGAGCTGACACCCTCATGGGTCTCTTAGGTCATGGTGTTAGTTACTAGAGGCCACCTCTGAAGTTTGAGGTTCCAAGTAAGCCAGGAGGACAAGTGAAGAGAAATGAGTGCTACGGAGAGTCAAGAAGATGCCTGTTTAATGAACACTCAGCTCCTCTCTAACTGAGCACATCTGCCCAACGGATGCCGTCAAAGCATCAAAAATCACACTGTGAGATTTTTTCTTCTAAGACGGCCCAATGCCTTCACCCAAATATTGCTTATATCTCCTATGTGACCAGGAATCTGTTCGATAATATAGAAATAAGGTTTATCTTATCCCTTTTGTATAATTCCAAATTAAAAAGGAATTTTATTTTTCTTATATTTATGTCTGTTTGTCCAGATTTTCTCACAGTTTTGCATATGTTTGTTTTTGAATGTAACGCTTTCTTCATATCATAGCTTTTGTAGTTGCTTAGTAATACAGTATCATCATTGTAATTCCTGTACTACTTATTTCAGGGACAAATGTAAAATTAAGATGATAATTAACATAAATTTAAAGCAAATTTACTCTGTTTATATTTAATCTTGAGTCTAAAATGAAGTTTGCAGTTATGTAAATATCAAGAGGCAGTCCTGGGTTTTAGTAGGCATAATAGCTAAAAAAACTAATCAAAAGATAAGTAGATGGGAATTTAATTTTGTCAATTTAAAATCTCTTAGCTTAGGATGCCTCATTAGAAGGGTGTCATAAAAACAAGCTGTAGACATCCTCAAGAATTAAACATGAATATAAGATCTATGGTAAAACTTGGCCCTTAGGCCATCTATGCTGAAATATACAAAACCACATTAGTATTTGATTCTTTCTGGTTATTTCATTAGCTCCATCCTCCAGTGAAATGTATGTATCTGTGTGTAACTGTCTTGTTCCTGTACCTCCACCATATCAAAAAATGCTTCTCCCCATAAATTGCAAAGTATTTACGCTATAGAATGCTAGTACCAATTCCTAATGCCAATGACTTGGTTTATGAGGATTGAATTATTCATCAGAATCTTTTTATATCATGTCACTGCAAGCTAAAACTTAAGAGAAATTAGAGCACCTACAGGAGCATGATAAAGAAAACAAAATGATTTTACTGAAAAAATCAAATAATCATCTCAGTTTAATCCCTGCACTCAATAGTGGCAGCTTGCTCTTAAGCCTCATAATTTTTGAGCATGAAAGAATATTCACCAACACCGCAAAATAAATATTACTTTTATTTATTAATAAATAAAACCTAAACTGAGCTGCAATTTTGTGAGTTAGGCAAAAACACTGGTTTGAGAGTCAGAAGATGTGGGTCTTGGCTCTATCACTCACTAGCAATGGGACCTGCAGAAAAGAGATGCTACCTCTGGTTTCTGTAAGTTCTAAAATGAGGGTTTGGATTAGTGGAATATTAAGATGTCTTTACATTATAAAATTTTATTAGGGTTCTATAATGTTTGTTTATAGAACAAACGTTTGCAAAGATAGCAGCTGGTCTCTTTTGACATATGTTAGAAAGAAAAACAACAAAAAACATGATTTGAGATATTCAGGTAAAAGAATAATGTGTAATCTTCCCTGAATCCCCCAAAGCCTTTTGGTCCCCTTCCTGTGAAGTTTGTTGTATCTGCAATGTTGATCATTTAAAACAGTTACAGTTTGTGATTAGGACAACTATCTGCTGGAGGGGTAAGTGGAAGCAATCGAGAGAGAGGGACTCACGGATGTTAAAAGCAATGGTTGGTTCCTGGCATATTGCAAGAAATGAAAATCACAATCTACTGGGGATATTTTAGAACTAATTAGTCATTCAGGTAATATTTTGAAAGTGTTATTCTTTCTTTTGTGTTAAAAGTGGAATTAACCATCAATAAAATATTCCATATCAGAAGTTTTATGACTATAGCAGAATTTTATACAGTAATATCCTCAAACACAATACTTCTGATAAGATCAAATCTTTCATAATCCCCCTCCTCTCCGCCTGCTTTCTAAACACGTTGGGGAGGTGGCTATTTTAGCATCTGGGTCATAGTCTGCGGACACCCTTAGTGGCTGCCTTTCAATCACCTTCAAGAATTCAGCCTTCCTTTTATTTTATTTTTACTTGAGAAGGATGGCAGAGTTCACTGGAACTAAGCCTGGCTCTCCCAGGTTATCTTCCTCTCTTTTGCAAGCTTCTCCACTTCTAGCTGCTAACTGAGCATCATGGTTCCAAGGGAGATGATTTACAGGTAACTGAAGATGGAGGTCACATCCGAGGGTTTTCTTTCTTCTTCAGATTTCAAATTTAGGATCTAAGAAGATGGCCAGAACTCTCTCAGACTGAGGTGAGTTGACACATAGTCTGGAATTCAGTGAGCTAAGGGAGGGGCATTTGGGAATATGTATGGTGTGTGCACACGTGTAAAGAGGAGAGGAATTAAGGCTGGCCAATTCTCCTTAACTACACTATTACCAACCTGGCTGATAGAAAGGGCTGGCTTACACATTATTTGTCCAGAAAAAAGAGAAAGAAAATATAAATTTATCCAACAATGAAGATATAATTTCAAATGAGAGAAAATGAAGAGGGGGCTAGAGGAAGCAAAGAATAATAAAGGTAAAGTATTACCCTTGACTTTTGTATGTGAGGGCAAGTACACAAATGAGAATACAGCAACATCATATTCCCACCCCAGCATATTTCATGTCACAGTAAAAGACATGTCCAAGAACTATCCAAGTAATGGCTATTTTTAAAAAGCTATCATCCACAGAAAGAAAACAGGTACCAGCAAAATGCTGCCTTCTCAAATATACTGACTCCATACAGAATTGAATATTTTACAACCCACTGAAATACAAGAATACAATTCAGATATCACTCAATGCATGTGAAAGTCTCAATGTTACAAACTGCTAGTTTTCAACAAGGGTCATTTAGTAAAATCAAATCCTGGCCAATAATAGTTGGCACTGGACCTTACATCCCATGCCACCATACATACAAGCTGAAGACATAGTATGTTCTGTGTGATTTGTCATTTCACTTTTAAGAAAGTGCTAAATCACAAGGGGATTAAATTTTTTCATACAATATTTAATGCGACTGTATGAAACATTCCGTCACCCTTACCGTAATTATTTAAGGGCACAGTAGATGAAATTGTATTTCACAGAAACAAGGGTCACTTGAGATCGAGATACAAAGTGTGTGCTCTGAAGTCACTAGGAAGCACTGGACCACCCACTTTAACAGAGGTGGTCAAAGACTTTTGACCTGATTACAAATAAGGAGTCATATAAGAAATGGTTTTATTAGAAAAAATGTAGTGACATGTGGCTAATTTCTATCCTCTATACATCTCTAGGCTATTTTATAATTAAACTTCTTTAGAAGTTAGTGGCATTTCTTCCTATTCTGGTATGTGACTTGGGGAAGAAGTTATCTTCACATGACAGATACCCCTTATTTCTTTGCATAATTACAATTAATCTATCAGTAGTTTAGCACTGGCACATAATGCAGAGAGAATTATTTAGGTAGTGTTTTATGTGTAAGACATCATACTTCCAAACCAAGAATCAGGCATACTTATGCCATTTATACAGCCTTTGAAAAAATCACTAATTACCATTTAAGTCCCACAACAATACCTAGTAGTAGTTAAATTAATGTGATAATCTGTAGCCTAACATAACCTCTGAACGAAGTTTCTCTCTTCTCCTTTTTTTCCTGTTAGATGTGCAATTCCAAGCAAATGTGCAGTATGTGGTATTGATTTTGTCTTTCTCTTTTAAAAACTCCTTCAAGTCTGTTCTATTAAACTGAGACAACCACATCAAGATAGAGTCTGTCATAGGACTCCCTGAAGCACAGAATGAGGAGGAGACTGAGCAAACACGACCCGGGAAGGCACCAGTTGAACCAAGACAACTCTGTAAGACAAAAACATGCAGTTTTAAACATTCATGCGACACCAGCTGAACACCACCTGTATGCTGGCAGTAACTGCTCTGCATTCAAAAGCACTTATAATAAATGCACCCAAGAAGGTCTGGGGACCAGCTTTCGATAAACAATGACAACCTAGAGACTAAGTGATGCATGTAATATATTACCAGGCTTTCATGTGGAATATTTTTAATCAGTGTTGCTAATAACATTTCATCAATTTAATCCACCTTGACTTTGGTGACAAAATAAATCTATTCAAAGAAAAAAAAATCGATCACCTTTAACTGCTGGGTGGTTAATTATGTTTTAAGTGCTCTCTACCACCATCACCCATGTTCCTGTTTAGAAATCTGATGGAGTAGAAACACAAATGAGAAAAATCAACGACCAATGTCACGAAACAAAATGTGGATAAATTGTTGAATGGAAAACTAATTTGCTCTGTAAACATTCACCCAAACTACAGCAAAAAGACAAAGAAAAAGAAAAAAGAAAAAGAAAAACCAACTAAATTTTGAGATACTTTTCTATTTTTGAAGAAATACTTAACACTCAGCAAAAATATCAAATAGCGATTGTTGTAAGACAGATTAGCAAATATACAGAAAAATAAAGCAAACATAAAAATCAATCCTGATTCTACCCTCAAAGAAACCACTGTGAATATTTCAGTTTGTTTATTTCTAGTCTCTTTTCTATGAGCATACGTGGTTCTATATGATACTCATTATTGGCAAATGTACAGGAATCATCTATACTGGTAATTGTTGTTAGATGTAATGGTATCAAAAACACGCTTTTTCACAGTGAGTGAGTGTTTATGGTGAAGGGTAATTTGACATTAATTATGGGTAGTGGTTGCATAACAAAATTAATGTAATCGCTATCCCTAGATAGTGAACTTGATATATATGACAAATGTGTTCTATGTATATATTTTTATAACAATAACAGAAAGAATAGACTTCTTCAAAAATGTTCTATCATGAATTCAGGACTCTTCAACAGGACAGTCCTCAAGCTCCAGGGACCCCTGAGACATGCCCTGGCCCCTTTGCCAGTTACCCACAGGCTGTGGGTGCACAAGTGAGGAGCTCTCTGGCATGAAAGGGCTGGAGAGGGTGGTGACTTGTCTAGTTTAATTATCCATACTTAGCAGTTTCAATAAAAAACAAACAAGGGAAATAATTCCCTGATACCCTTTTTTTTTAAAATCACTATTATAGGTTTGTATTTTAACTTTGTCCCTCTACAGAATGCTAATACTACCTTAATCTTCAAAAATCATCCTAAAGATTTCCATACCGCTGCTTTAGTTTAATCCATAATTCATATAGCAAAAGAGCAATTTATGCTCAGGAATGGAAATCAGAAAACCAACCACTAAGTAAAGGTGCTGAAATACCTTTTTTTTCCTGAAACATGCTCACTAAAACAGTCTCTCCACCTCTCAATTTCCACATTTTAAAAGTCAGACATGCTATTCCACAGCATGCAACAAAGATACATATTTCAATGGTATTTTCCTGCAAAGCTTCTTCTCTGTGGACTGAATATAATCTAAACACTCAGAAAGGCTGTGACCTCTGGGATCCTGTCTGTATTCTATTATTTCCTGAAATGACAACACAGGCAGTTTCTGTTTTTATATCAAGCACATAACCTCTGGATTTCTGATGATAATTTTAATAGGCAAAAAGAAGCAGAGGGAAAAAAGAAAGTAGGAAAACAGTAAAATACAGATAATAGCATACTATAAGAACTAAAAGTGAGCATTCTGACTTTAAGGTAGAATTTTAAGCGATATATAACAGAAAGTATGGCACTTGACAAAACGGCCTACAACAATATTTTCTAAATCTTAGAGACTGTATTTTATGGGGAGCTAGAATACACATGCAGCAACAATAAACTTGTCCTTCTTTTCCTTACATCTAAGAATTTGTCAAATATTGCCAATGCAGGCCTTTTATTTCATCAGAGTTGTAAAATTATTCCTTCTATCCGGTTCCAACGAAGTCTTTAAAAATGCCTTTTTGTGGCTTCTCAGTGTGATGGTTTGTTGATTGGTTTTCACTGTGTCCTTCCCTCTGAAAAGCCGAATCTGCCCTGTGGTAAATTCACATGGCTCAATCAACGGCAAATGCTTTTTGAAACCATTTGCCGTTTCAGAAAGCAAAAAGTCAAAGACTGGGGAACTGCTAGATCTTTCCACTGAAAACCATTTACACAAACCAAAGCGTAGGTGCTCTACTAAGCAGGAATGGCTTTAAAGTTTAATTCAGCTTAGCAGCAGTGAAGCCAATTGCTGTCCTTTCTGGGCCCCATGTTACATAATGTACTTGAACCAACAGTCCCGATGCACGGAATTTTCTTATTCTTATCCTTTTTATCTTTTAAAGTTAGCATAGCTTTCTAACATTTCTTCCCTTTGCCTTTCACTAGAGGAAATGTGAAACCACACTCTGAGACAGGCTTCCACAATTCACCTCTATACTTTTGCTGGTTCTCTAGCATCTACCACACTGTAGCCTGAGAAGTCTCTTGCCAATTTATGGTGCAGACAGATGGCTATATTTTACTCAGTGAACTGGGCTCGCCACCAAATAGTGATGCTCTGTTGGGAATGAACTAATTAGGACTGTGCTCATCCTCCTACCTGTTTCTTCCAGACACTGCTATTAATACCTTCCGCCTCGTCTTTCTCTTCATTGATGCTAGCTTTTGGTTTCTATCACCTTCTAGTACTTGTATGGACCCCGCTGCCATCCTCCAGAACCAACTTTCTACTTTCTTTGGTGATTTAACAAAAATTATGATGATTAACAAAACTGTCTTCATTCTCACTCAAGGCAAGAAGCCAGCTGATACCATGATTTCAGTTTAATGCCCTGTGTGATAGTTGAAGATGTGTCAACTTGGCTGGACTTCACTTGTGAGTGGTGTTTCCCATGATGGATCACATGACTGCGTCCTAAGCGGCCGGTCAGTCTAGGGGAAGTTTCCCCAGGGGTGTGGCCTACCTGTAATACTATCCCAGGAACAAACTGGAAAAACGGCATTCCAGATATATGCT